TTTATTTATATATATATATATATATATATATATATATATATATATATATATGCACACACACACACACACACACACACACATATTTATATATATATGTTTATCTTTAAATAAAACAGCTTAGGCGACGCAGTGGCACAGTAGGTAGTGCTGTTGCCTTACAGCAAGAAGGTCGCTGGGTTAATCCTCGGCTCAGTTGGTGTTTCTGTGTGGAGTTTGCATGTTCTCCCTGCGTTCGCGTGGGTTTCCTCCGGGTGCTCTGGTTTCCCCCACAGTCCAAACACATGCGGTACAGGTGAATTGGGTAGGCTAAATTGTCCGTAGTGTATGAATGTGTGTGTGGATGTTTCCCAGCGATGGGTTGCAGCTGAAAGGGCATCCGCTTGCTCAAAAATGTGCTGGATAAGTTGGCGGTTCATTCCGCTGTTGCAACCCCGGATTAATAAAGGGACTAAGCCGACAAGAAAATGAATGAATGAATAAAATAGCTTAAATTAGCGAATAAAACACAAGGTAGGCTACTTTGCAATAAGGGGACGCCACTCAGACAGTTTTAGAAGCTCATTCATTCATTCTCACCATACTTAAGGTCTTAATCGTAAAATCTCTTTTTCGTCTCTTCTGTTTTGATCATGTCAGCATCCATGGGAGAACAGAACGGCATTTTGTTTAACTTCATCTTTTGTGATGAGAATTAGCTGTTTATTGCATAGTAAATCAGACTCATTCAAAGCATGTGCAGAAATGACTGCATGTTACACTTCCCAATGTACAATGTTTTCTTTTCTTGCATTGAGTTTTGAGGTAGGGGACGTTTTCATTTGCTATTCACTGACAGTCAGACAGGCTCATCCAGTTCATCTAACTCCGTCTTTAAAATCGTAATCGAAGGCAGAATAAAACGCATAAACATGTCTCCTCATAAAGCCGGCATATCAGCACGCTGCTACATTGAAAACACGTGATTTGATTCGCACCGTCTGATTGGTTCTCAGGATGTAGTGGCTTTTGCTGTCAAAGGCAGGCGCCGTTTAGCGGCTTTTGCCAACAAACTGTTCTGAATGTGCTGACGCTGCGATTAGATGATTTGAAGCAAAAATGTTTGTTGATCATGTGTAGTACATGCCTAAAGCATTCACTCAAGGTCATTAGCTCATTTTTGGCGGAAGTGGCGTTTAGAGGCTTTTGGATCTGAACTCTTCATATACATAACAATATTTCAGTATTATTAGACCCCTAACAAAGTGATCAAAACTAAATTCCTAGACTTAAATAAATACATTCAGTTGAAAGCAGAAGTGTACATCCACTGTGTAAAGCAAATAACCATTAAAAAAAAAGTCAGCTGTTATTGTGACTAAACTTTTCCTGTTTAGGTAAGTGAGGATGATCACTTGTGTTTCTGTTCTGCTTAATTGCAGAATAATGAGAGAGATTGTTTAAGGAATTGTTCTAACTCTTGTTGGAAGTCAAGTTTACACACAATCAGATTATTCTGCCTCTGGAAAAGCTCAGATGATGATGTCAGGGTTTTGGAGGTTTCTGATTGGCTGATTGACAACATTTGAGTTAATGTGAGGCACAACTGTAGAATAGTGTTGAAGGAGAAGCTCAAACACACTGCTTCCTTGTGTGACAACATGGAGAATCAACAAGCCACAATCAACAACAAAGCCAGATTACCATTAGCTGAATGACACTGGGAACAGACTGATGTGTGGAGACATGTCCTGTGCTCTGATGGAGCTGAGATTGAACTGTTTGGCCATAATGAGCAGTGTTACATCTGGAGGACAAAGAGGAAAGAGCACAAGCTTAGAACACCATCCCAACTGTGCAGTATGGGGGCGGCAGCATCATGTTGTGGGGCTGTTCTGCTGCAGGAGGGACTGGTCCACTTCACAGCATAGATGGCATCATGAAGAAAGAACATTATGGAGAAATACTGAAGCAACATCTCAACACATCAGCCAGGACATTACAACTTGGCCACAAATGACTCTTCCAAACAGACCATGACCCTAAACACACTGCCAAACTAGTGAAAATGTGCTTTAAGGACAACAGAGTGAATGTTTTGGAGTGGCCATCACAAAGCCCTGATGTCAATCCTATAGAACATTTGTGGGCAGAGTTGAAAAAGCTTGTGTGAGCAAGACAGCCTACAAATCTGACTCAGTTACAGCAATTCTGCAGGAGGAATGGGCCAAAACTCCTGCAAACTATTGTGAGAAGCTTGTGGAAGGAGACCCAAAACATTTGACCAAAGTTATACAGTTTAAAAGCAAAGCTAAAAAATACCAAGGAAATTTTGACTGTCTAGAAATTAATAAAAAATTCTATAAAATCAAATTCTCTCATTATTCTGGCATTTAGTAAATCATTTAGGTAACCCTAACAGACCTAAAATAGGAAACATTTAGGATCATTTATCATCAGACATTTTAAAAACATGGTTGTGTTCCTTATTTAGAGTCTATGTAAACTTCTGATTTCAACTGTGAAAATGACATGTTCAAAATATGAGCATAATCTGCGAGAGCATGAGTAATAGTGGGGCTGTTTACTGATGGTGTGTGTGTGTGTGTGTGTGTGTGTGTGTGTGTGTGTGTGTGTGTGTGTGTGTGTGTGTGTGTGTGTGTGTGTGTGTGTGTGTGTGTGTGTGTGTGTGTGTGTGTGTGTGTGTGTGTGTGTGTGTGTGTGTTTGTGTGTGTGTGTGTGTGTGTGTTTCAGGATTCAGAGGGTGTGGAGATCATGCTGGGCGTCTGCTCCAGCGGCCTCCTCGTCTACAGAGATAAACTGCGCATCAATCGCTTCGCCTGGCCAAAAATACTCAAGATCTCCTACAAGAGGAACAACTTCTACATCAAGGTCCGGCCGGGAGAGGTGAGACCAAACATTTCATCTAGAACAGCAGTTCAGGAATCAGATTTAAGTGTCTGGATGAACTGATCTGAGATCCCTGCGTGTGTTGTGAAGGACTGATCTATCAATCTAATCAAAAATGATGATGAGCAATGCAGTGATTGGCTGACGGCACAGCAGCACTTTGATATTGGTAAAGGTGTCTGCATTTTTTTGTGAAACATTAAATCTCTGGCATATTAGCTGTCAGAACGTGTGCATGAATGAAATTATTAGGCTGGCTTGTGTAAGCCATACTATTGTTATACTGTTTTTCTTCTGAGACTAAAAATTAAACTCATGACCACCAAACTCACACCAGATCTCCAAACTGGTCTGACTCGGGTTGCTATATCTATTCCGACTGATCCTACTTTCGGTTTTCTGAAAAACGTCCCGGGACCGTCTGAAAAATGCCATTGATTTAACATTGGACCAAGCTTTGTGACCTCATACTTCTGCATCAGACTGTCCTACAGGCTTCTAACTGGGCTCATTTAACTCAGACTATCTAACTGCCAATAACTGATGAGCTTTTACTTTCTGGCCACACCCTATATCAACCACTTTTGGGACCCTAGAAACTGTCCCATAGACTTCCACTGCAAAAGACTCTCATTGACTTTACATTGGGTAAAACTGTGTGAGCTCATAACTCTACATCAGACTGTCGCACAGACTTCTAACTGGGCTCATTTAACTCAGACTACCAAACTACCAATAACTGATGAGCTTTTAACTTTCTAGCCATACCCCTAACAACCAGATACTGCACCCTAGCAACGGTCCCATAGACTGCCATTATAGAGGTTCAGATTGATATCGTCATGCTGCAGTGTGATAGAGACATGGGGGTTGTTTTTAACTGTTCATACTGGCAAGAAGCTTTGATACATCATCAGTCTAAGCTGTCAATTAACTACAAATACATAGCAACAAAACAAACTAACCTAGCAACGATATAACAGCAGCTATATCTCAGCATCAGAACATCAAAGAGAAGCGGGGGTTGGCTTGTTTGACTCATCTATCTATCTATCTATCTATCTATCTATCTATCTATCTATCTATCTATCTATCTATCTATCTATCTATCTATCTATCTATCTATCTATCTATCTATCTATCTATCTATCTATCTATCTATCTATCTATCTGTCTATCTGTCTATCTATCTGTTTATCTGTCTATCTGTCTATCTATCTTTCTATCTATCTATCTATCTATCTATCTATCTATCTATCTATCTATCTATCTATCTATCTATCTATCTATCTATCTATCTATCTATCTATCTATCTATCTATCATTCCATCCACCAATCTATCTATCTATCTGTCTATCTGTATATCTATCTATCTATCTATCTGTTTATCTGTCTATCTGTCTATCTGTCTATCTATCTATCTATCTATCTATCTATCTATCTATCTATCTATCTATCTATCTATCTATCTATCTATCTATCTATCTATCTATCTATCTATCTATCTATCTATCTATCTATCTATCTATCTATCTATCTATCTATCTATCTATCTATCATTCCATCCACCAATCTATCTATCTATCTGTCTATCTGTATATCTATCTATCTATCTGTTTATCTGTCTATCTGTCTATCTGTCTATCTATCTATCTATCTATCTATCTATCTATCTATCTATCTATCTATCTATCTATCTATCTATCTATCTATCTATCTATCATTCCATCCATCAATCTATCTATCTATCTGTCTATCTGTATATCTGTCTATCTGTATATCTATCTATCTATCTATCTATCTATCTATCTATCTATCTATCTATCTATCTATCTATCTATCTATCTATCTATCTATCTATCTATCTATCTATCTATCTATCTATCTATCTATCCATCCATCCATCCATCCATCCATCCATCCATCCATCCATCCATCCATCCATCCATCCATCCATCCATCCATCCATCCATCCATCCATCCATCCATCCATCCATCCATCCATCCATCCATCCATCCATCCATCCATCCATCCATCCATCCATCCTTTAAACTTATACCATCAGGCGTTCACAAGCCAGCCTTAAAGTTTGTCCTCAAACTTAAAGAATCTAGTTATTCCTTGAAATCCCTTGAGGAGGCATGTTCTCCCTGCGTTTGCGTGGGTTTCCGGGTGCTCCGTTTTCCCCCACAGTCCAAACACATGTGGTACAGGTAAATTGGCTGGGCTAAATTGTCCGTAGTGTATGAGTGTGTGTGTGAATGTGTGTGTGGATGTTTCCCAGAGATGGGTTATGGTTGGAAGGGCATCTGCTGAAAAACTTGCTGGATAAGTTGGCGGTTCATTCCGCTGTGGCGACCCCTGATTAATAAAGGGACTAAGCTGACAAGAAAACAAATGAATGAACCACCTCTATAACAGTTTTTGTACTTTTATTTCAGTGTAGATTATCTGTTTTATTTATTGCATTTATTGAAACTTTTATTTTATATATATATTTTTTTAACTATATAAATAAGTAAATGATTTGACTATTTTCCTCAGTGTATGTAACCTATAGGTTACTACTATGAGAGAATACCAGCGTTTGGAACACACTTTCAGTTTTACCTTTGCTTAAAAAACTCTCGGATGAGTTTTGAGGAACTGAATGATCCTGGATCGGGTCAAATCGTCAATAAGCAAATCCAGCTAAATGAGAAATCCATGTACAAAGAATAAACCCCTGATCCTAGTGTGTCAGAACGCATCTGAAACTCTTTGTTTTCTGTTTTCCTTCAGCTGGAGCAGTTTGAGAGCACCATCGGATTTAAGCTCCCGAACCACAAAGCAGCAAAGAGACTGTGGAAAGTGTGTGTGGAGCATCACACCTTCTTCAGGTGAGACAGCGCTGCGGCGGTTATTAATATTGAGAATTTGTTATTTTATATATATATATATATATACAGACAGGAAAGCATTGGAAGCAGACAAAGGGGAAGGGTCAAATTCAGGTCGCCGTGAGCACCATGGTGCTACATGTCGGCACACTTAACCACTAGACTACTGGTGCCGACATTTGTTTTTGCTTTTACATTTTTTCCCCCTTACGCTTTTCAGATTTCTGTCTATTAGTAATGCGCAATTTCTTGTCATGTTCATATATTTTTATTGCATCTATTAGTTTTTATAATTTTGCTTTCATGTTTAAATATGCAAATGAGTCATCATCTTCAGGTCAGACTCGGATAGCCGTGCTGGGTTGATTAATATTGGCAACTACTTTTTGTTTAGGGTTCATTACATTTTTTTGTTAATTTATTTTTTTTAGCTTTTGAGATTTAAGCCTTTTTTAAACTATTAGTAATGTGCAATTGCTTTTGTCATGTTTATTTGAAGTCAAATTTATTCACCCCCTTCAAACATTTTTCTTCTTTTTTTAAAAAATTTCCAAATTATGTTTAACAGATTAAATAGCCTGCTTTACTGAGCTGAAGTTGCTTTAATATTCACATTGGGTCATTTTTGAACAATCATAGCCTTCCTATACTGTTCACCATGCTACTCTGAATATTCGCTCTGAAATAGCATGTAAGTGTGGCAAAGTATAATACATGTAATTCCTGCACGGCGCTGGCACTAACTAACTGGCGAATGACATGAACTAGTGGGTTGTCTGTAGGCTGTTGCGCGCGCTCACGATATCAGGGGGTGTGGCTTTGAATCACAGTCCCTCCCCGCCGTTCAAAGATAATATGCTAAGCGGTTAGCTTTTTGGCAGATCACCTACTGCACCTTTAAGTAGTAACTCTGGTAGTAGTTTAATAGTCACTCTGGGATGAATAATATATGCTGTGTTTTATAGACTTGTATGTCTTTATTGTTTTAGTTACTTTATTAGTTTTGGTAATTGTAAAATTTTTAATAATTGTTATTAATTGATTTTTACAATAATTAATAAATAATAATGATTTTTTTTTTAGAGAGATTTAAATTGCTGATGTAAATGAGTGAGCGTGCTTGTGATTGGTAATGGTCTCTAAGGCTGGCTGTGCTGCTGTGTTCTGATAGGCTGGTTTCTCCTGAGGCTCCGCCCAAACGCTTCCTGACTCTGGGCTCAAAGTTCCGCTACAGCGGCCGAACGCAGGCGCAGTCACGGAGAGCCAGTTCACAGATCGCCCGCGCCGCCCCGCACTTCCAGAGGACCACCAGCAGACGGCACACTGTCACCGCCAGCATGGACAACAGTACGACACATACACACATACATACCGTATACACCATATATACCGTACACTCACTGGCCACTTTATTAGGTACACCTTTCTAGTACCGGGTCGGACCCCTTTTGCCTTCAGGACTTCTTTAATCCTTGGTGACGTAGATTCAGCAAGCTACTGGAAATATTCCTCAGAGATTTTGCTCCATATTGTCATGATAGCATCACACAGTTGCTGCAGATTTGTCGGCTGCTCATCCATGATGCCAATCTCCCGTTCCACCACATCCCAAAGCTGCTCTATTGGACTGAGCTCTGGTGACTGTGGAGGCCATTTGAGTACAGTGAACTCATCGTCATGTTCAAGAAACCAGTCTGAGATGATTGGTGCCCCATTCTGATGCTCGCTTTGAACTGCAGCAGATCCTCTTGACCATGTCTACACGCCTCAATGCATTGAGTTGCTGCCATGTGATCGGCTGATTAGAAATTTGCTTTAATGAGCAGTTGGACGGGTGTACCTAATAAAATGGCCGGTGATTTTACATGGTTTACAGGGGCACTCCATAGGCATAATGTATTTTATACAGTAAAAACCGCTTCTGATATAGCCCTACTCCACCCCTACCCCTAAACCCAACCTTCACTGGAAACTTGTGACGAAATTAGTATATGAAAAGACTCTCTTAAGTATGATTTTTAAGCGTTTTGAATTCGAGGGACACGAGGTGTGACCCTGTAAACCACCTTAATAGAGTACAACTAAGTCATACCCATGTCATTATACAACTCTGTGTCCCTGTAAAGCACATATACCTGTATATAAACACACACACACACCGTTAACTCACCCATGGACAACAGTACGACACACACACACCATCACCGCCAGCATGGACAGCACACACTCTCACACACACACACACACACACACAATTGTACACATCTCCTATCATGATAACCATATATATATATATATATACATACATATTAGTGCTGTCAATCGATAAAAAAAAATTTACTAATTAATCGCACCTTTTTTTTTTAATTATTCGCGATTAATCACATTTAAAATACTGAAACTTGTAATTTTGGCTATTTAAATGTAAAACTAATGTAAACTCAAGGCAAAAACTATTAAAATTGAAAATATAATTGTTTATTATAATTTTTTTTAACTTGTAACACAGATTACTTCATGTAAACAACAAACCCACAATAAACCAGCAAGATCCTGCTTGACAGCCATATTTAATACAGAAATTAAAACACAGGCATGTTAATGACATTTAAATTTCAAATCAATCAATGCCAATAAAGAAAACATTGATTTCCATGTTGGATTCTAAGTGGACTGCAAAAAAAATGCCAAAAACAGGAATTACAGATATGGAAAATGAAAAATTATAATAATAAACTATAGAATACAAACTGTTGCACTCATTGTAGTTTTATTGCTGTGAGTTGAGATCATTAGTTATAGAGTAGAAACAATTTTGCTTAATCCTCCTTTACATTCATCCAGTTGCTAAGACTAGGAGTATCCCGCAAGTGCACAGAGACTCCCAGATGCCCGCAAATGAATGATAATTTCTCACAAACCAGTCGTTAAATACATTGCACACCCCTCTCCCCCGCATCCCTCCCAGCTCTTTAGGTAGCCTATGCAACACGCACACGCCCCTACTCAGATACACCGCTCACTCCACCCCTGACACCCCTCAACGGGCCTGACACAGACACACACACAACGCCCTGCAGACGTTTTGGCCCCAATGGCCTTCCATATTGGAGCGACTCCCCTCAGATTCAACACGCATGATCACGTTCATCAAATTTGCTTAAACTAAGCGTCCTAAAGTGTTACTGTATTTCACAAGGATTCTGACACAACAACGCGAAGCAGACGCTTTCGTTGCGTTTAATGAGGAAAGACGCTAAACTTGGAGGCTCATGCTGAAAGGCAGAGTAATGCCCTGTCTTTGACAGCTCGCGACTTCAATAGAGACTTTCAGAGTACATTCACATGAGACACCAATACTCCGATTTTACTATGATTAAGATAATACTCTTATTAAAGTTCTACCGAGTAGCCTCAGCAGTGATTTTATTACCTTAAAGGAACACCGAGTCACGAAATGCGGAGGATTTTCTTTCTGTTCGCCATGCGGTATCAACTTACAACAGATGTCGAAAGTTAAAAATGAAACACCCGAAATTGCATGAAACTCTGGA